GATGGAGACAGGATTAGCCTCCCGAGGCATCTGGTCCCTCTGAGGCTGGCCAAGCATTGGGAGGCATGAACAGGGTCCAGAAAGCTGAGCTACCCATCTTCATTTGCTGTGACAAGCCAATGGCTGGGAAAGCTTTTGAGGGTCTGTGTCTGCTGGAGGCAGCTGAGCAGGCCAGGCCAAGGGTAAAACCCAGCCCAGGGTGCAGCTCCTCGCATCTGAAACTTTTCAGGTATGAATGATGAACATTTTGGGTACATTCTRTCTTTTGAAAATACCTTCTGCGTGCTGTGTTTAGAAATGCAGCACCTGTGTAGGTACAGGCTGCCTGGGAGGGCTGGTGCTTTTATAGACACATCTTTGAATGTTTGGTGCTTGAATTCAAAAGGGCACATTAGTTTAATTCATTTTTCTTTAGCACTTGACTTGAGGAGACACAACTGCTCTGAACTGAAGGAACTGATTTCTCTTTTTCTAATCTGTGAGACAGTTAAAGTAAATGCTAATGTTCTGCGGTTTTATATTCCCAATTGCTCTAAACCATTTAAAAACATATATTTGTTACAGCACTGAATGTGTCAGGCAATCCTGACAATTCAAAAGACTAAAATTAAAGAAAAAAAAAAGCCGCTCTTCTATTTTCTGCCTGTCCAGGTTTTATCTTGTGCAGCACACATTTAAAACCTTATCTCCTCAAATAATATCCCTGTCAACAGAGACTTTGGCCCCAGCTCATGGGTCTGTTTAATTTCCGCTGCATTAAAACACTGTGAGAGTCAGCTGGGCAGTGATTCCTGACCAGGCATCCCTGGCAGAGGGGAAAACTCCTCTTCAGACAAGGAGAGGAGGTGATCTCTCGTGCTTCCATGGCAGGARGAAGGGGATGGGATGGGGTGAGATGGAGCATCCTCTGTTCATCCTGGCAGAGGTTCCTCYCAGGTTACACTGACAGGGGATCTATTTCCTTGCACTCTCTGCCCCCTCTGTGAGTGGACAAAGAAAAACAGCTACGTTTGGATTGTGGAAGAATTTCCTCAGGGCTGATAAGGGGATGGAAATGCTTCTTGGATGCAGCTGAGGAAACACAGCTGACCTTTTGGCTGTAAATTATTGCCTGCTAATAAGTCCTGCTTGTGTGCTGACAGGAGAGGGGAAGGTGTGTCTTTGCAGTAGAAATGGTGTTGAATGCTAAAAAAAATACAGTAAATTTCATGAAGATTGGAGTAAGTGATGCTGTCGTTCATTCAGCTCTTAGGCACAGAGTAGGTGCTTCTGTGTCTTCCTTTYCTACCTCTGCTTACAGAAGTGATATTACTGAATTAATTACAACATCTTTGTGAAGAGCTGAAGAATCGCTCAAGTCCTCTATTCAGCAGTACAGAAATGTCAGATTCATCTCACAGTAAATTTAAAATTACACCAACCTGAACTACTGCTGCTGGCAGCATAATAATAAGGCAGGTAATCAAAATCAATTAAATTCCAGTGCCTTCCTATTGTCCTAGMAAATTCAAATTTGAAATTAGTTGGAGTTCGATTTGACTTCTCAATAAAAGAGGCAGAGCTTCAGAGATAATTTGAAGTAAGTACGTGGTTGTGAGTGATCTTTCCTCAAGCTGCAAAGAGCAAGGGAGCTCTGGGTGCTCATGTTTGTGCACATTGAGAACCAAAYGTAGCCAGGGGTTCCCAGTCAAGGCAGAAACTGGTTTGAGGCTGCTGATTTGTGCTAGCTGAGACCCAGTTTGTAAAGATTTGGGTGAGATAYCGGTCCAGGTGAATGCCAGATGCAGTGTGCCTCCATTCCCACTGTCTGAGGGGCAGGAGGACAAAGTCCAGGGCAAATTCCTCTGCAGGGCATTCATGGAGCAATCACAGGGAGAAGAATTCCCTGTGTCTTTCCAGCAGTGACATGACCAGATAGAAAATGCATTGGACATCTTACAGATCACAGTGGAACAGGGAATTGCCCAGGAGCTTCAAAAGCTGTCCAAATGGATATGTTCCCATAGCACCTTGCCTTGGTTTTGGCTCTGTCTGAGCCTTTGGGTCACCTTTCGTAGCAGGATGGGAGATGGCAGTAGCTGTTTTGGAAGTGTTTGGGGTCAGGCTGGATGGGGCTTTGACAAACATGGTGCAGTGGGAGGTGTCCCTGACCATGGCAGGGATTTGARCAAAATKATCTTTAGGGWCCCTTCCAACCCAAATCATTCTGGCATTCTCTGGGCTGGACTGAGTGACCACTTGGATGGGGAGGCCACRGCAGGAGAATGAGCAGAGTGTCACCCAKGGTAGGTGTGAGGAAACGGACACRGCTGGCAGGTGCAGAAGAAAATTTMTTGTCTAAAGATGTTTCTTGTTGGAGAAAAGCCCTGATCAAAGCCCAGGGCTGTTGTTGGGGCTGATCTAAGCCAGTGCTGTACCAGTAACTTSAGTGCAGCCATTGGCATTGATCTGGCTGTCCAGAAAAACTCATCTGGTACAATTTCTTTTGATTCTGAGAATGACCCCCTTCTTCCAGGGAAGCTCCCTACATGTAGCTGGAGTGTTTTTTAAAAAATGTTTTGGTTTTTTTTTTTTCACCTTTTTGTCTGCCAATATTTACATAGACAGGCTTTCAGGGAAATGGATTTCCCCTCTTTCTACACACTGTATTATACAGGTAAGATTTTACTGACCCCTTTTAAACTTTTTTTGGACCTTTCTGGCTGGACCTTGGTCATGAAGGTAGGCTGAGTCTGATATCCTACTTATTGCCCTAAGGAGGATGCTCAGCAGCAAAGTCCTGATGTCTGGCTGAGATGCAGGACTTCTCCCACCCCACAGTGACCCGCTCTCTTATTTGGGAGGAGGTTTGGTTTGTTTTGCAGTGCATATTTTTTTCCTACAGCAATCCTTTTTTCTGCCCGTGGGATTGCAGAGTGCTGTGGTGCCTCTTTGGGATCACGGGTGAAAGTGCCAGGGTGGGACCCAGGGCACTGTGGTGCAACATCCCGGGAAAAGCAGCGTGCCAGGATGTGATGGTGGGCATRGAGAAAGAAGGGAGCAACATCGGAGGGGAGGGAACGGGAACAGGACCCAGCGAGAGAGCAGGAGAGCTCGGGACTCTGCCAGCAGGACCGAACTGAACTCCTCTCCCTCCTGCCCTTCYAGACACTGGGCTGTGCTTGTCCCAGTCTTGCCCTGAAGCGAGCAGAGCTCTCGCCCTCTCCCAGTGCCGCAAGGAGCGCTCGGCACTCCGCGGCTGCCGGCCCGCTCCGCGCACCCTTCAGCCCGCCCTGGCGGGATGTTTTACGGTTCCCCTTCCCCGCCCCCCTCCCAGTTCTGCCGTTTCACATCCCCATCCTCTGCCGCGAGCCCCAGGCAGCTCCTCACCGCCTGTCCAGCTCCGAGCCGCGGCACCTGCTCCGTCCTCCCGCTCACCCCGCGGCGCGGCACGGCACAGCACGGCGCGGAGCATCCCGGCGGCGGGACCTCCTCCTCCTCCCTCCTCCCCTCTTCCTCCTCCCTCCCTCCCTCCCTCCCTCCCCGCGGCCCCGAGTCGCGCCAGTGATGGAGAGAGCGTCACCGTCTCCTAGCAGCGCTCCTAGCAACGCTCCTAGCAACCGGGCAACATCTGCTCCCGCTGGACCAATCCGCGCGGGGAACATCTGGGCACCCACCTCCGCGGGCTGCGGCCGGGAGGTGATGCGCTCCTCAGTGGCTGCAGGGACCCGCAGGAGCTGCCACCACCGCCGCCGCCACTGCCGTCACCAGCACCAGCAGCAGCACCGCCACCTCCTCCAGGAGCAGCGAGGGAAGGACGGAGCAGCCCTCCCTCTGGCGCCGGGGCTCGCTGGGTGAGTGCCACTGAGCCGCTGGTGGCAGGGGACAGAGAGCTGCGGGGTTGTCCGTGGCAGCGAGGCGGTGCGGGGCTTTGCCGGCGGGATCTGCTCCGAGGGGTTTAGCAGGTGGCTGTCGGCGTGGAGGAAGTTTTGTGTTTGTTTGGGAGCTCTCGTGGCTTTGCTGCGGCGTGGGAGAGSCAGGAGAGGAGAGGGAGGCTCCGCGCGTCCCGCAGTGCCACGRGCAGAGGTGCTGCTGCTCTGCCGGACCCTGTGAGAGGACATTTCGATCAGAGTCCTCTTTTTACGGTCGGAGCTGAACTCTGAAAAGTAACCATAGCTCCTCTTTCCATTGCCTGTTAATGCTGTCATCCTCGGGGTGACACAACTGTCTAGATATAGTTGTCTTATAGCTGCGAGGCACGAGTACGCACACACGCGAGCCTCTTTTCCTTTCTGACAGGATTTAGACATCTCTAATTTCATTAATRTACTCAGAAAGTGTCAGTGTCTCTGGCACACACATGTAAAAGTGCAGAGTTTAGGTAGACCTATGTATCTGTGATTTTTTTTTCCCCCTGAGCGTGGGAGATATTCTTACTACAGCATGCCAAATACTTCACCCAGAAGGCAAAGCATCAGCCTGGAAATTGTACTCTGTGTCAGGCAAACTCTGAAGCRTGCACCCTGTTAAAGAGGAATGAGAATCTGACTTTTCCCAGACCTGTGCTGCTCTGCAGGCAGTGTGAGTGTGTATGATAGAAAATTAATGCTGCTACTCAAAATAATGGCGTGGTTGTAATAGCAGCCCTTTAGCTTTCTTCTGAGGTTGACAAGAATTAATGGAGAAAATAATGTGCCGTTTTAAGAGATGGTTGGGGCAGAATTAATGTTCTAGCTCCAGAAACGTCCGGGTATTTAGAGGAGCAAGCTGTATTTTTGCAGCATTTGCTCTGAGGGGATTAGAGCTATACCACTGAGAGACTGAAATGTTATTTTCTTTATGTTCTATTCTACTTTCCTGATGTGTGAAAGGGATTCCAGGAAGCAAGGTCAAAGTTAGAGAATTGGATGTAACATCAGAACTCTTATTTATCCCTGTTGCTAAGCCCTGTGGGGATGCTGAAACAGCACTTTCTCCTCTTGTGGTCCAGCTGCTCGCCGTGTTTGYCCTGATTTTGCCACCTGAGCCTTGTGTGTTTCTCCCTCACCCACCACGGCAGGTGACACCGTTCAGCAGTGCCGTGCTGCCAGAAATGCTCGCTGAGCCCGTGCGAGGGGGAAATCTTACCACAACTGCTGAGATTATCCCAGAAAGACCCTTTGCAGACTGACTCCGCATCCTCAGGTAACTAACAAGTTGGCAAACTTCGGCTGGTCGGGCTGAGCGAGGGGATTTACTGGGATTGATGTCGAAAGGGGGTGAACCTGGAATTATTACTTTATTCTGTYGATGAAAGCAGTGGGATTACAAGGAGTGAGATGGGAACAGTCACTCAGCCATTAAGTCTYATGCCTTCATGGCCTCACGAGAGCTATTTAGATGCTTGTGCCTTGTACACATGTGTGTCCAGGGAGAATCTGCAATTAGGGAGATCTGCAGAGCAATCAGCAAACTAAAAGGCGGTTTTAGAGTGCAAAGCCAGCAGACAGGAGTACGGCTGGGGGTCCCCACCTTCCCGTGAGTCGATAAAAGGGGTCCCGCTCAGCCTGAGCGAGGAATAAGGCTCGATACGCTGGAAGGGCTGCGATCGATCGTCAGCCGTGTGAAATCCTGGGGCTGGCATGTGTTTTCGATCCACATGTTCATCTGCCCGCGCTCTGGTAGCTTTGCATTATCAGCTGGGAATCCCGCAGTGGGACCAGCTGCTTCTGCTGCCCTGGAAGGGAGGAAAAGCGGCAGCGGAGCATGTGAGAGCAGAGGCAGGTTTCAGCTGAGCACCCCCTAATTGCGAGAGCTCTGAAGGTTAGAGACGGGGGAGTTTATCACCGCAGTTTGACAGCAGTCGCAAGGACACGATGACACGTCCTGCCGTGTCAAAGTCACGTCTCCCGCTGATAATAAAAGCCAATTTCAGTGTGCTCGGAAGCCTCGGGTTTTGTATTTGAGCACGCTAGAGATGCTCAGCCATGGTGCGGGTCTCAGGCAGCTTTAGCTCGCGTATCGATCGCTCTCCTTTGCGCTGCGATAGGAACCCCGCAGGGCAGCGGCACATTTGAGTCACCACCTCGGTGCGCAGCGGCAGCGGCGGGGCTGGCTCGGCCAGCCGGCTCYGTGCTCACCCCCTGCAGATGTCTGCATCAACAACCAAACAGTATCGACTCGGACAAGCCCCGTCACTGCAGCACTGAGCAGGCAGGGAGGAATTTTCCTGCCGAGGAAAGGTAGGGGAGGTGCAGGCGCAGGCAGGTGTGGGGATGCTCCCAAGGGCGCACGTACAAGTTCTGGGACAGCGCTGCTGCGCACAGCCGGGGCTCGCAGATCCCTCTCTGCTGCCTGACATGCGAAAGCACAAGCTCAGGTGTTTTTTTTTTCCTTCAGGCTGTTCAATCATTTGTTCAACTCCGTGTTAGCTGCAGCCCTGTGGCAATCGCCCGGCATTAATTCATGCCGAAGAAGGGCTGCTGTCACTGGGGCGATGCAGGAGCGCAGGTGAAGTGACTTCGTCGCGATTTGCAGTTCAAATGGGAAGTTGCCATGACATAAATCTATTTCCAATCCAATTTAGATAAGACAGCCCTCTGTCCAAACATGCCTAATAACTGCGTGAGTAGCACGCTCCAGAGCACCACAATTATTCCCGGAGAAATAAACAAGAACGGACCCATTTTGATCCTTTAAAAGTACAATTAAAGCCCTTGCGAGGCTGCGTCTGAGAGCTCCAAGCCTCAGACAGAGGAGTCTATTCCCTCACTGCCGCGCGTGGGATTTATATCCCAAACTTCCATTAGCGCTAATGGCAGCYCCAGCCGCCGTGCCCCGATGCGCTGCGCATTCCGAGCAGGCTCTCACGGGCGGGGTGTAAACACCGGGGGCTGCCGAGCCCCCGCAGCACCGCCCGCCGGTGCAAATTGCGCCGAGTCCTTGGGGACTCGCAGAGGGCTTGCGGCTGAGCGCTGCCGGGATGCTGAATGGGCTTTCCCGACGCTCATCCAGGCTGGAAGGACAAACCTCAGGCTCAGGACTCAGCGCCGCGCTGGTTGGTCCCCGCGGGGAGATTTGGCCCCGTGCCTTGGCTTGTGGTGTAGCGCTGAAGAAAACGTAATGTGATTAAGATGTATCTGTCTCCGAGCCGGAGTGAGGCAGCGGCAGTGACTCACAGCACCTTGCTGGAGCTGTCAAAACACTTGGCTGGCGAGAATAGCCTTCCACACAAAAAGCACTGATTCAATATGTTTATATTTAAACAAAACGCTCAGGCTCTGATTCACTGCGGCATTACTACAGCCTTGGGTGGCTGTAACCCCAGCCAAGCGGCTCCCAGGCACGCACGGAGCCGTCGAGCGCTGACTTCCAATGAGTTTTAGAGAAARGCTTGGTCCTGGCGAGTCTTCTGCAGGGAGGGCTTGAGCATCGRTGCCGGTGTTGAGGGCACAGTGCAAGGTCACGGATCTTGCTCTCGTTCCCCTGCACCTGCAGACAGGTGTGTGGGCACCAAAAGATGATGGTGATGAAATGTGTGGTGGTGGGATGGCAGCTGCACGGAGCACAGGAGCAGACCCTCGAGCACCTCTGGGATGGGATTTGTGCGCCTTCAGCTCGTTTTCTCACCCTGTAGCTGCAGGTGTGCAGGCAGCACCCCTTCCCTCCCAGARAGCCGAGCCACCCGTGACAGCCCGTGGGAGCTGCTGAGCTGGGGAATTGGGTGCTCCAGGCTCTGCAGRGTTGGAACTGCTGTGATTTGCTAACAGATGGTCTGGTGCTGAGCAGCTTGGGGCCACTTTGCTCCCAGAGCRCAGACTTTCCTTTAAAACTGGGAACATATTTAAAGCCAAACTTACAGCCTAGAGATGCTCTTGGTGTTTGCTTGGTTGTTGYTTCCATTCTTTGCTTCTAAACTTAGTTATGGGCATTGTGGTGAGGGTGTTGTGACAACTTTACTGCTTCAGCTGATGCGAAGTCTTTAGGAATTAAAAACAGCTAGCCAAGGGTATGTCCCAGGCTGGTGCTGAACACAACCCCAGAAAAGGGGTGCCAGCTGGATGCTCAATGAACCCCCTGCCACGATGGTCATACGTGTCCCTCAGCAAAATACAAATTTTTCCGTCTGCTCCTGCCAGCCAGCACCAGCCCCCAGCCCGTGGATGTGTGAAAACACAGCCTGCCTTCCCTCCCAGCCACAGGCTGCCTGTGCTCCTTCCCTTGTCCTGCCTCCCTGCTGTCTCTAGCCCCACCTGTGCTCAGGGATGCTGAATTTCACACTGTCACACTCCCTCTCTGGGGCAGGGAGTGGAATTCTCGTGGCTCRGAGCGGCAARGGAGCTTTGCACRGAGCTGGTGGAGCTGCAGAACTGAGCTGAGATGCTTTGCATTCTGTGGTTGTCTGTGCTGCCCCTGCACTCACGCTGATTTTCTGCTTCCATTGCACACAGGCAATGATAGGGCTGTGCTTCCAGCCTTTTCCCTGAAAAACTCCAGGGAGTGTGTTTTAGCATTTGGAGGCTTGGTTTGAAGGAAAGGATCTACCTGTGTGCTGGGTTTGGCTCCTTTCCCAGCCCTGGCAGCCTGGGTGGCTATGGGAATGTCACTTCATCTCTCTGTACCTTTGTTTTCCTCAGAGCAGTGTGAGGAAAACTGTAATGTTCTCCCATCCCACGGCCCTGGGAGATAAATTCATTTGTTGCTGTGCTCAGATAACACRGTAGCGGGGTTTCCACCTAGGAGAACACGATATCAGAGTAATTAAATACCCAGGCTGTCCAGGCTCTGGTGTAACTCAAATAATGGGATGGAACCTGCAGGAAGAGAAGGTTGCTGCACATGAATTCAAACCAGTACTTGGAACTATGCAGTACCAGTGGGGAGGTGAAGACCACAGCCCTTCCCTTGTTCCTGAGAGCTGAGGAGGCTGCCAGGAGCATCTCTGGCGTGTGTGATGGTCCAGGGTGATTAGAGCACTGTAGTAGACCTTAACAACCTTGGTGGTGTTGTCCCACTGCAAGAGCAATTGTCTCTTTTAGGGGGAAATGCTGCTTTTCTCTGCAATCCATTCCTGATGGGTCCGAGAGCAGGGCTGAGTGGTCTCGACTCCAAAAAGGGTGTTAATCCACCAGTCGGTTTCTGCACAGACCTGTAGCATCCTTTACAAGAAACCTCCAACCCCACAGATTCGAAATTCAGTGAGAAAACACAAGAATCCTCTCGTAGGAGGGGTTTCTCCTTCAGCGCTTCTTTGTGGGTTTTTGATGCAGAAGAAGGAAGGGAAAGCACATTGCTCCTTCCTCCTGCCAGTGGAGAAGAGATTCTGTCCCCTGGAATTGTTGTGTAGGTACTATGTATAAGGAGATTCCAGTTTGGGGAAGTAAATATTTCCCATGGGACCTGACTTTGAGTTATTCTGTGAAGTGGCTCTGGACACTTTCTTTCCGTGAATTGCCTTTAGACATCAGTCTAATAGAAGTTTTGGGGTTTTTTTAAGGTGCATTTAAAAGAAAATAATAAAAATTTCTTTTAAAAGGGAGGTTTGGGAGGTTATGATGCCTCCTAGAAATGCACATGGGTCCTCATCTTGTCTCATGCAGAGCCAAGCGAAGCCCAGTCCTGGCTCTCACAAGGACCCAGCGCTCACCAGGCAGAGCACCACTGGAGTTATGGACCTCAGTAAATCCTGAATTAGCACCTTGTCACCTTCCCACGGAGATGAGCGAGCTCAGAGCAGACAGCCAGGGGGCTGCGGGTTCACAGAATGCCCTGGTCCTCTGCAGGACTCTGCTCTGGAGGAACAGACCTCCCCCGGTCCTTGTCACAGCACAAAAACCCAATAATCCCTCCTTTTAGCCCAAATGTTGATCCTCCACCCTCTGTGCCCTGAAAAGCCGAAGCCCCCGGAGAACAAACCAGCTCCTGCTTCTCCGAGGCGACACCACCACCTAGTGAATGCACTCTGCGCTGGTTCCAGGGCAGCCCCGGAGCTCCGTGMGTGACTTGGGGAAACCAAAACCCAACGCTCGGCTCTCACACCCCACAGCCGGGCACAGGAACCCCTGTCCTCACCCAGATGGCCCCATCCCGGTGCACCCTCCTGTCCTGGGCATGTYCTGCCTGCCCTGTGGGGTTGGGGCTGCCCAGGACACCCCACTCAGCTSTAGGAGCAGCAGCCCCTGCCTGTGCCCGGTGCTGTGGTGGTCACTCCGGAGAGGGGTTTGCTGTGCTGGCCAGCCTCAGGGTGGGTGTTTCAGAGGCTCTTTCGCATTTGCCAGCCTCTCAGCTGTTCTTTCAGCAGATTGAGGGCTGCAGGCTGAGGCTGAGTGTCGTTCTGGCCCCCTCTGGATCCCTCCTGCCCTGCACACCCCAGACCGTGATGTTCCAGCCATCCTGGCAGCGAGCATTACTCACCTTCTTTTTCCTCCTCTTTTGTGCAGAGCTGATCTGATCGGGGCCTWCCAAAGACATTAACGACGTCGAAAGTAGCTTATTTTAAGAGAAAATATGCAGAAGAAGAACATTTACATCAAGATTACCATGAGTATTGTCCAAAAGTGAGTATCTCCTCCCGCTCCACACCCCACCCTCCCCCCGGTTTCATTCCTTGATGCTAAAGATCCATCCATTCACTCCCCAGCACCTGATACTACCAGAGGACCGGACTTGTATCCTAAAATTATCTCTCCAGAAGCTGCGCTTCCTGGACGACCCCGAAGCCTATCTCCGTAGGTCTGTATTAATTAACAATCTGTTGAGGAAGATTCACCTAGAGACAGAGAGGGAGAGCTATGAATACTTTAAGGAGGCTCCGTGCTATAGGACTGCCTACTCTGACGCACGAAAACGGCTGAAGTTTATGGTGCAGGAGTGCTGTTCCCAGTCGCTCTATTATGAAGAGCTGCACTCGTATCGAATCGTGCCTTACTCTGCAGAGAACGCCGTTTACGGGATGGGCTACACGGGCAGCCACCTGGAGCAAAATTCTCAGTTGCTTATTTATAAAATGAATTAAAGTAGCTGTTAGAGCCGCTGACGTTTGTTTCTGAATGCTTGAACTGCTTGTGGAGGTGCTGAGGTGAGGCGCTGRTTGCAGGTGTGTTGGGATGGCAGGCGGATATCGGGAGCTGAGCCCGAGGAAGGCGCTTTGGAGGATGCTCCGCAGCCCCCGCTGTTAACCCCTGGTGTGCCGCACCTTGCTGCGCACACAGCGCGGGCCCGGGCCGAGCTCCTTTACCCGCACAGACTGCGCGAAATGCGGTTTGCAGAAACAAAGCTGCACTTAAGCCACCCTGTGTGTAGATACGGATGCTCCGAATCACCTTTTTTTTGCAGTTAAATTACGCCGTCCCCAGTGCGAGGGGAGCCCCCCGAAGCGGTGGAGTAGTCTAACAGTGAGGAGTAAAACAACACAAGTTGTCTGCTGTGAAGGTGTAGACAGGAGGTTTCTCTGAGGATTGCTTTGACCATGAAGGAGTCAGTGCCAAAGGAWTAAGTCTTTAGATTAGGATTTTCAGAGACTGAACTCGCTTGCTACTTTCAGACACTCTACTGAGATTTGCAAGGGTTTGTGGGTTGTTTTTTTTTTTAAAAAAAAGATTAATTGCATTCACCTTTTACTTATATTATCTCTTAGCTGGTATCKACTTTGCTCTTTTAATACGACCCAGAATGACTCACAGGAAAGATTGTTTCTTCAGCCCATCATCGGTGTTCCCTTAACTTCATTTGCAACTCCCCTAGCTGTTTCCCCGGTACTTCCTTGCATGCTAATTTGCTGTTTGGCCCGAGGTTCGCACTGGTGCTAGGGAATAGACAGCAATTTCTTTTTWTGTGGAYTATAAAAGGCAGAAAAACAATGRTAAYTCTCACAAGATAGAGAATGAATGTATCTGACAGATGCTGGTAAGACCTCAGCGGTTCTCCTGATGAAACTGCTCAGCATTAGTAATAATGTTTCAGGTTAAGCGAAATGTCTGATTTCAGTCTGGGAATTGACTTTAGAAGATGTAAATATATATATTTCACAAGCTTCGGCAAACGGAATGGCCACGAGTGGAAAGTTTCATAGCTGCCAAAGCTACGCCATGAAAATACCAAAGAGTAACATTAGGAAAAAGACGATGCTCCAGCAATGGGGTCGAAAGCAAAGATTGCACTATAATCCGGGGGAATGTGATKAACGAGCCTGTAAATTAGCCATTAGCGACACCCTCCCAGAACTGCAGAATAAATACACGARGTGGTTCAAAGCCTGTCAAAGTCCTACAGGTCTGTTGGCTTTCAGCGAAGAAAACAGCTTTGCCTCGCTGGCTGTCACCACTTTAAAGCTTTAAAGCGAAGTAAATAATAGCGCACACTCAGCTGGAGGCAGATACATTTATATATAACTAAAACTTTTTTTTTTTTAAATTCTGAAAGGCTTTGCTCTTGCAGATGTGGCTGATGCTATTTCTGAAGCATTATTTAGTGTGAACAAATACCATGGCTTGCCAGGGATGTGCTTTTTGTGTCAGATCCCTCCTGTCACCCTGCTCAGAGCATCCTGGTCGTGTGTGTTGCACATTATCGTCACAGCTCCCAGGCACGTGTTAGTGCTGGAGAAAAGGCAGAAAGGCAAAAGCAAAAATGTGTGAAGAACAAAGTGATCTCTGGTATCAGTAGTYAGAAGTCAGTACAGGTTTAGGAAACAGAAGGAAGCAGTAAAATCCAGATTTTTTTTTTAAAATTAAAAAAGAAAAAGTCAGCAGTGTAATTCAAAACAAGGATAACCTGCAAACTGGGGAATATAAACATCTCAGATACTGTGGGAAGGCTGAAAAAGCAGGGCAGTRCTGTTTGGGAGGTGCTGTTAGTCATGATGAGCGTTCAAGTTTTTGGTTTTGCTTTGAGACAAGCCGCATTTACTTGTCTCTTACAAAAGACTGTCTTTCAACCCTCAGCCTGTGCAGTTCAGCCTCAGAGCTGCTTGGCCTGGTGTGGTTTGATTCCTGCACCAGCCCCAAATCATGCTGATCAAGCTGATCAAGTTGCACGATTTGAGAAATGGTTTCAATGCAGTTTGAGAAATCTCCAGTTTGAGAAATCTCCAGTGGAAAGGGGCCGTGCCCATTCTCGATAGGGGGGTTTAAGAACCCAGGCTGCTGATCAGGGGGGTAGGACAGCCTAAGCAGCACCAGTGAGAGCTGGCAGAGAATCCCATCTGCTGTTTTGAGAGGTGCATTATCCCCCAGGAGCTCTGTGCCACCCCAGGGCTGGGGGAATGGCAAAGGAAAATTGTCTTCTGATTTTTCAAACCACGTAATTTTCCACTCTGAAGAGATCTGATTTATACATTTTTTTCCCTCTCCGGGTCTATTTTCACCTGATTTCATAATGATCTAGCATGTACAGGAAATGCTAAAATGTTTCTTTTCTCTCACTGACATTTTTATATTCATAGGATGGTTCTGGCTTGAATAAACAAAACTTTTAGAGACGTTTCACTGAAAYGAAAAAAGCACAGTAGGATCAAAGTCTTTAACCTCACCTGAAAAAATAATTGGCCCTGTTAGATTCAGCTTTGAGGAAGTTCTTTGCCTGCTGAAAGAGGCAGATAATTTCTTGCCTATTGAAAGCTTGCTTCCCTGATAAGGCGTTGTGATAACTGAACAGATATAACAGACAAAAATCTGCTTCAGGTCACAAAACTCCTTGGGCTACCTAGGAAAGAGGATGATAATTTACTCATACTTTTCTCATGTGTTGTTTTCTTGAACAAAACACGTTGTCTGGATTTTTTAAATCTTCACTTGCTCTAGGAGCCGCTAAAGTGGATTATTTCTTTCTAGAGAACAATAGTTTTTTTTATGGTTGACTTTTTGATATGGAATTGAATCAAAGGTTCACAATTCCAAAGGCTTTAAGTCTGCTTCAGTTTTTATTGCCTTATGCTTTGCCCAGTGCTGCTGATTAGTGATGCTGAAAAGTGGGTCTGAAACATTCGACTTGAGCRCTTAAAAATAGTTTATGGGGTGATAAAGAAGTACAAATGTGCAATAACATTGCAAGTGACTCCTGAAATATTTAATTCGACACCTTTTGAATTATATAGTTATATTGATTTTAACATTTACTCTCCAAGTTACTGGGTACCRGCATTTTAATAGAGCTACATACAGGGATTTTTCTTTTTTGGGGTTTGTAGCTACAGTTCAGCTCTTCTGGCTTCTGATGTGAGAATCTGTCTGTAGGTGGTCAACTTTCAGTGAGATAGATTTATATATATATATGTTCTATTATGACTGCATTAGGAACTCCTACACATGGGCTATGTTTGCACTGGATGTAAAGAAAGTCCTTCCMTCCCTTTGGCTCAGTTGCCTTGGAGATGGAATATTCATCAGAGAGAATATAGATGAGCTGGGTAACAAGGACAGGCTYGGTGAGGAGAGCTGATCATTTTGGAAAGGACTGGCTTAGGACAATTCACTTCCACCCGGGAACGGCAGCACGCTTGGCTGTAATTAGTGTTTCTGTGAGTAGAGATTTCCTTGTGCTGCTTTTCTGGCTGGACATGCTGGGYGAGGGGCACAGAGGGGTGGCTTTGTGGGGGTCACAGTGTGGGTGTGGATGGGGTTTGGTGCAGAATCCCAGCACTGAGTTTGAGCAGCCTGGTCTGGTGAAGGCGTTTCTGCCCATGGMGGGTTGGAACCAGATGGTCTTTAAGGTCCCTTCCAACCCAAACCATTCCATGATTCTGTGATGTTAGGACCCTGATCCTGTAAATGCTTCAGTTACCAGCTGATTTTCTGTACAGACCCTGCTGCTGCAGCCCGAGGGGCTCCTTGTGTGCTCGATGCTCAGCACCTGCATCAGCTTKTGCAGGGCTGGGGCAGAGATCCCCTCCATCGCCTCCCTGTCAGTGACCGTGGCCATCGAGCTGCTGCTTGAGCTCTTGAATACACCTATMTTGCACTGTAAATTGAATTTCTGCTTTCCAATGAATGTGTTGAGTGTATGGACTCTTGTGCCTTAAAGTGCCATCCTGACGCGAGCCTTTGTAAATGTTCTGTAAATGCGCAGACCGTCTGTCGCTGTATCTCTGTGAGCTCCCTCCACATCTGATTTGGGACTTGGCAGCACCTGGGGAAACCCAGCCCTGGCCTCAGTTTGCCATGAGCACAGAAGGGATTTGACAGTTCCCTTCTTTTCTTTTTCTTTTTTTCAAATTGCTTTCCTCTCTGACATTCATGAAATTCTGATTTTCTGGTTTCTGCCGTGGCTGAGTTCTGGGTCACCTGCAGCACCACGAGCCCTTTGCAGGAGCTCAGAAAGTTGTAAAAAAAGTTGTCTCCAGCTTTTAAATGCCACCTGTAGAGCGCTCCCAGGAGGGAATCACAGCTGCATACAAAACTGTGGCAGGTGTTGTCAAGTGTATCATCATTTATTTGACATGATTAACAAAGCAGAGAAGGGAAAACCTATTTCTATTGAAATGCATGAGCCTGCATTATGTTAAATACATGGTGATTATACACCAAGTAATTGGAATAATACTTACTGGTTCTGTAACAAAATAAAAAAACAAAAAAAGAAAAAAAAAAGAATGGCTTTTTAATGTTTAAAATTACCTGGGACCTGATCGAAGGTTTTTATGAAATTGTTTTCTAAAGTGAATAGTAGAAAAAATGTATATGTATTTTAAATATACGTATGATGTGCATGTTATTAATAAAGATCTATTTCTATTGAACCTGATGGACTCTTGTGGAATATTGTTTGGTTTACAAGTTTACATGTGATGTTACTAAAGAAAGGTTTCAAACACTTAAAAAACTTAGAACCACAGATTCTTTGAGGGACCTGGATCTGAGGGTGAACCTGGGATAACTCCTCTGCCATTCACTTGTCTTGTCCTGATCCCATTGTTTGCATCCCAACTTGCCCATGGACTTGCAAGGCCCTTCTTCTTTTCCCTGTTTGTTTATTTGATTTAAAAATCTGCAAGGAACCATTTTCCTAATGATGTCCTGCGGGCCATGTTCCAGATGCTGCCAAAGGAACAAAGTTAAAATAGTTAGCTATTGGAGCAGTTCAGAAAAATGGGATTTTTTTACAAAAAAAATCCTGATTATGATGGAAAGATCTGGGATTTCCTCATCATCAGGGATTTTCTTTAGGATTCTTTTCTTGAGGAAGCTGAAGTGAAACGCTGGAAATTTTTAAGGGGTACTGAACAGGAGAAATATTCACAAAAGGATGGATTTTCCCCTGTGTGCAGGAGCCTGACAGCTCTGAAATCACTGATCCTACGTCCCCTACACCCCTCACATGAATGTGGTGTTGGCAGGATTAAGCAGCCACCACCCAAATCCTGGGATATTCTTTATCAAACAGCTCTTGAACAATTCTAAACAATTCTCCTTTTTAACTAAAAAGCAATACCTAAACCTCAGCCTGGAATATGCATGACTTAGAGGAATGGGCTTCTTGCTGCATATCTGCAGTTTTGGCCTGGTTTTTTCCCCCATATTTTGCGTGAATGACCCATGGTCTCTGGAGTGACATAGCCCTGGCACAGAAAAATATATTCAAATGGC